AATTATGGATAATGTGGTACTATATTTATTCGCTGCTGAAGCAAATGAGGAGCACTCCCAACGAATTCTTCTTCAACGTAGATAAATTCTACATCAGGACAAATATCCACGTCGTTTGGTAAGTTCTCCTGCTACTGCCATCCGCACTTCCTCGTAGGCAACACTTCCACTGACTCTTTTATCCCAATGAGATTTAATTGTGCTTTATATTAGGGCCTCCTTCTGTCGTGTTTTACGGCCTTGAAGTTTTGAGCTGCGCTTATTTCTTTTGATCAGCGCGCACCTAGAAGTAAAATGCGTACTTGAAAAACCGCATATTACTGGAAGAGAAATTTCACTTTCTTCCAATCCAACAATTTGTGTTCACCTTGTCCCAAAATTAGTTCAACTCCTCCTTATTGTCCTTAAAAATCCTGGGGCTGTAGCCGGTTGAGTTTCCATCAACTCTACTAGCAACTCGTTTTTTTTTTTTGACTGAAAACCATACAAAATATTACTTATGAAAAAAAGTATTAAGATATTTGCATAAAGACTTGGGTCTTAAGGTCTATAAAGTTCAGTTAACACAAGAACTCAAGCCGGCCGATCATCAGCAACGTCGTGCCTTTGCTAATTGTGGCCTTGAAATGCATGAAAGTGATCCGGTATTTCAGTGTATCCGCGTATTAGTCTAAGCAAAGAGCTATCTCCATAAATTTTGCATTTTAAGATATATCAGATCATTGAGTTGGCTCCAGGGCCACTTCCGGGAAGAAAATGCGCTCCACATGTCCAATTAGCGAAGAGTTACCCGTGTTCAAATTTCTTGAAAATCTAACGATTTAAAAACAAACTCAATTTTATCGCATAGATCGGTTTTAGCTCTACTTCCGGAAAACCTTAACTTATCTGGTATACACGTCATACGCCGTATACACCCTCCAAGTTGCAGGTATCTGCATTCAGTGGTTTAGACTGTGAGTTGATCCTCATTCATTGCGGACACGACTGACGTTAAAAAAATGAAAACAACTGAGCCACACCGTCTACCAATGACATCCATACCCTCCTTGAATTTTTAAAACCACATTATTATAATTGGCACTTTGTAACCGGTGAAGCGATTTTCGGCCGAGCTTGATGTTTTTTCAAAAAAAATTTCTTCTTCCTTGCTGAGGGTAGACTGAAAATAGACTGCAATTATCAAGCCTTTGCCTTTCGCATGGCAGAACGCAATGTTAAGCCCTCCGCTATTACAGCCGCTGAGGGGATTTTTGGCCGAGCTTCGCCTCCCCTGTATTGGCTGCGTCTTATCTTTTCTACCAACAAATGGAGGAACCTGCAGTTTATTCTAATCCGCCTCTGCAGCTATTGATTTTATTGTGAGGAGATCTTCCCTACTACATTAAATAGTTCAGTAATTGGACATTAATTTCGATCTCTAATCGTTCAGTAGAAATTGGGACTTGGAATATCTGTTGGACCTTTTTTTAAAGAAAGTGGAAAAACTGAAACAATTCTTCTAGACTGACTAAATATTCTCCCAACAACAAGACCAGATGTATCTGACCTCCGGCGTCGCTGCTGACACTAGAAAATTCGAAAGTAGTAGAAATTTTTAGCTACTTAGGAACTAGAATCAATACCAACAACATTATTAACTGTTAAATCCAACACAGACCAACTGCTATTCTGACCTGGGTTGGCGATTAAAACCAAAGTCGTTCTTCGATAAACAAAAACCAATTAGCTCCTGTTACTTTGTGGACAGAACTAAGACGAAAACGCGAAAATTTTTGAAAGAAAGATTGGTGGATGTTGGCGTACAAGTGATGGCAAATACCGCAGACGATGATTCGATACCTGACTAGGTCATACCATCTGAAGTCCATCTTTGAATGTTTTCGATGTTGTATTTATTGAGAAATGGATGGCCTCTGCTACATTGTAAATATTAAATAGAGAAGAGTTTTCTTATTGTTGCTAATTATTTTGAGCTTCAAGAAAATCGATCACTTTGTGAGCTCTAATTACCAATTTTTAGAAATCAACTCTCCTTTGATGACAGTAACACCATGTATGGTTGTACAGTTTAAAGAAACGGCGGTTATGACCATAGTCACAGCCAATATTGTAATTAATGTATTTGATTATTGGTATCACAACCAAAAACAGCGACTAACTCTGTCTAAAAATAAGATTTGATATAAATAAAATTCAAGAAAATTTATATAAAACTCACCAGAATCAGTAGCAGCAGATCGAAAATATTTAAATGCAGGAAAGCAGCAAACCAGTTCTCTGTGGCTACGGCGAAAAAACAAAATTCAGTTAGTTGTGGCCACATCACTGTGTTAAGGCACAAATAGTAGAGAACAGTTTTATCCATTAAGTTGGTTGGATCAGCTGTTATGGCATGGTATGGTTATGGCACCTCTAATTTCAGCTTAGGGAATCTGCTATATGATGGATACTTTTATGTCAAATACAAGTCATATCACTGCAGTTGAAGGTCACTCATCATATTGTCAAAGAAGCCTATGAATTGAACAGCAGTTTCTGATGGTCCTCCTTTCGGACAACTAAACCTGGAGACGGCATAAACAACAACTGAAGTTATAACCAGATGGATAGTTTCTGCTTATTTTTGTGCTTTTCTTGGACCTTAGTCACGCCTCCATAGGAATATAGCTACCTTAGTAAGTAAGTGCATGCTTGACGACGCGTCTTGGTTTTTAGGAAGCCCATTGTTTTATTGCCGATATTTAAGTTCCCCTCACAGTACTTCGCGCGCGCTGTTTATATGCAGGGATCTAGTAGTCGTAAAGCGATTCAGGTATCAGGCGTATAGGTACTAATATCTATGCTTTTCATGAGAAACCCACGGACAACTGAACGTTGTCCTGAAATAAAATGAGACTGAACTATAATCAGTTTCGCACGCAGTCGATATGAACATGAGACGGCATGATCACTGCCACGTCTACCATGCAAAACTTATGGCGAGCAGCTGTCTTATGCTTACCCAAGTCTGCGATGGTCAGGTAGCAGTTAATATAAACTCTGAAGCGGAAAATAGTCAGGACCTGGGTTCCCAAAGTGGACCAATCTAAGGAATTGTCGAGTGACATAACTGGAAGGGGAACTATTCTAACCACAATTAATTGATTTAGGCATAACTCTTTTCTCTGCGAAGCAACTGTTCTCTTTAACAGTGTTAATAAGAGGAAAGAAAGTCCTAGAACACCAGGGGAAGGAGTATTGTTTTTTGGGAACAACGGTAGGACGATAGGTAACATCATTCAGCTTCAACATGAACAATTAAGTGGCAATCGGAAATTGTGGAATCAGACTTAAGTGCACTCTGAATTATGAGAGCCTTTCCATGAACTACCGAAAGACTATTAATGTTTAAAGATCAGGATGTTAAGACTCAAATATTCAATCTCCTTAAATACAATTTCATTTATTCCAGGAAGGTGTATAAAACCTACAGTTTATTGAAAAATAATTATTTTTCCTGTACTGAAGGATACCATGCCGTATATAGCAATAGTCGCATGAAAGATTTACGTAGTTTTTGTTTTTGTAGCTACTTTTCTTTTCATTTGCATGGCTGCTCACTGTTCATTACACATAGGAAAACGCATTTGTTATTGTTGCATGCGAACATTCTTCCTGTCTAAGTCTGTTCTCGAGGTAATGTTTGCGCTGTAAACTTTTCTAATTGAAATTTCGTTGCGGCTTATGCAAATTATATTTAATTTCCTTAACTTTTATTGATATGGAAATGGGGAATTTGAGCAAATCAAAGTGAAAAATGTTGTAATATATATGTATATACTTTTATAATTTAATATATACGTAGTATATTAAAATTCTTAATTTTTGATTTTTTTTTTTTCGTTTATTCTTCTTTGTTTACATTAAGTAATTTACATGTACATACATAGAGATTTTTATATTCATTGTGTTGTGATTTATTTGATTTTGTTTTTGTTTTTATTTTTGTATTATTTTTTTCGCTATATATACTACTTATTTTCGAAAAGAAAAACGTATCTTTCGCACTTAAGTCTTTAAGCAGACAAAATTCGAACATTAGAAAATACAATACGCATAAACATTTAATTATGAGATATTTATAAATTAAAATGACACTAACTAAACAATAATAATTTATACATTACTTATACATAATATATATACATACAAATGTATATGTACATAATGCTAAGGCAGTAAATGTGTATATTATTAATTTTTATTTATGATTTACTTAAACTATAATTTATATTTAATCATTTGTCATTTATTATCTTTTTCTCAATTATTCAACTCAGTTTGGGTGCACACGTCGTATGAGTGATATTTTTCTCACTTCGCTCCATTATAATGCGTGCGCTTCCAAATTATTTCTTTGTGATTATATAACTTTACAAAATTCTTTAACGCGTGCTATATAGCTTTTGCCATAATATAAACAAACTGCAGGCAATCATCAACAGCGAGTAATCAATCGTGAGTCACCGGTGCGTATACGTAATGCCAAAATACGAAAATTTATTTATTTGGGCAGCGGCCGGGATGATTGTACACCTATCGTGTTTGAGCAGAAAATTATGCGTACAAAGGCGAACGTGAAATTCATGGCGAATAAATAGAAAACTGGCATTTAAATGAAATGAAGAATTAAATTTTTTATAAGGAAATAAAATGTAAATGTTATATAAGAGCAATAAAAGATTTCATCAAAAAATAAAAAATATTTAGATTTTAAGTCGAAAATAATAAAAATGATAATGAGCACAATATACTTGGGACCAATTCAAAAAAGGGGAAATTTTTAAATTTCGTGTCTACCAGACTGTATAAAATACTACCAAAAATATTTAAAATAAAAAACTGAAGAAAGGAAATATGAAAAATATGGCATTAAAAGGCCAAGCCAAAAAAATATATAATTATTCGAAAAACCTTAAAATCAAATCAAATCCATGTAATTATATTCTAATACAAAATTTTCGCCTGTAGTGTGTGAATTTTATGAGCTGAACCTTCGATTTGTCTCTGTGAGTGCATAACAAGCCGCTACATACAAGTGCCGCAACAAAAATACAAAGGCATACACATATAATTTCGAAGCAATGATTCCACATACATTAATGCAGTACCCCACAATCTCAGCGATAAGAAATTTACACTTTTTCCTGCTTAAATTACACTCAAGTAGCTCCCCCCAGCAGTTTTATTAATATTTCCCTTTTTGTTTCTGTGTGCGTTTCCTTTTGTTCCTTTTCTAAGCATTTTTCCCTCATCGTGTTTCTCAGTCAATTAACATCGCTTTGATGAACATATTATATTGGCTGCACTTCACACACGAAATACGTTTCAAAACTACACGGCGAGTCATTCCATTTCAAGCCTTTGCCATCACGATTCCATAATTCCATACAATTCTCTTCTTCACCATTTTCATAGCGGAAATTATTCGGTTCGCCAGCATTCCAATTTGTAAATGTTATTGGTCTGCCATTGGCCATCCAGAAGTAGTTACCCTCATCAGCTAAATCGGTGCCAGATGTCCAGAAGTGTTCGTGACCCAAACCTTCTGAGGCGATGGTGACGGCAATGAAGGAGAGAGGTTATGAGTGAGGTTGGACGGGTGTGGGCATATGAAAGAGAAGAGAAGATTGCGCATTAATAAGTAAACTGTTAATAAGTTTAAACAAAATTATTTAATTAACTAAATCTTATAAGATATATAAAAATATAATATAAATAAAAAAAATTAAACTAAAAAATATAAAGTTAAAGTTTAAGTAAAGCAAATAAAGTGAAATAAAACAAAATAAAATAAAATAAAATAAAGTAAAATAAAACAAAATAAAATAAAATAAAATAAAATAAAATAAAATAAAATAAAATAAAATAAAATAAAAAAAAAATAAAAAAAAAAATAAAATAAGATAAAAAAAAAAATAAAAAAAATAAAAGAATATAATAAAAATAAATAAAATTAAATAAAGTAAAATGAAGTAAAATAAAATTATATTGAATAAAGCAAGAGAAAAAAAAATTATATAAAAAAAGTAAAGTAAAATAAAACCATATAAAATAAAATTAAATTAAATTAAAAAGTAAAGTAAAAGTGAGCCATTTTTTCACCCATTTCCTTTTGTATGCGCAAATAGTATGGGTAGTAGTAAATCAACAAAAGGTCAATGTAGTCGAGTTCGGATATTGAAGCCCTTTTACTCGAGCACGTGCAAAGAAAAGCTTAGACAAACAGTTTGTTCAGCCAAAAAAAAGTTATACATACAGTAATACATATTTTAGGTGACCACAGCTACGACTAGTAAGTCATAACCACTAGCCAGCTATGGCCAGCAGCACATATTGCATAGCAAAAAGCATAACACGCAATAAATGGCAGCGAAATTGAAGTCGGGCATTTAGAGCTTGACACGTTAAATGTGAGACGTTAATAGTAAAGAAGTAAATTTTCCTTCACTAACTCAACATGGAAATATATAGCAATTGCTTTACATTTACTCTTTTACAGAGCGATTATTGTGCTTGTTTACATATCCATATATATGTGAGTGTGTGCGTGTGTGAAAGTTAGTCATGCAAAATACATTACAAACTCGTGAAAGCTCAGACAAGCATTGTGCTTATGGACTTGCGAGAATGTAAATTGAGGCACACACACTCACTCACACACACACACACGTACAGAAAAGAAAGAGAAGCGTGGAAAATAAAATAAATATTAAAATAACTACAATATATTATTTTTCACTTTTCCAGGTATTATGGCGTTATGTGTGGTTAAAGAGGTGCATTGACCATTGCCATCGTTTCATGAAGGCTCAACATCACGCCAGTCGACATACATATTATATTAAACCATGCCGAGGCTTAAAATGCCATTCACTTTGGTACCTTTCTTGTATTTAATAATAATATTATATAACTGTATGCCAGCTAAGCACGACATAGCCTCAAACCAAGCAAAAAACAGATTAAAAAAAAAAATAAATAAATGCAGAAAAATTACTATAAATGCATTGAATTCACATTCGCTTGGTAACAAGAAAGTCAAAAGCCAGCAGGCTTTAAAGGCTTATGTGCGCTAAAAAAGTGAATTAAAATTCCAAGGCATAGTAAGCGTGTTGGCAGTGCAGAGGTAGATATATTAACAATTGTTTTAACTTTTTATCTCTGTTTAATAATTAGTTGAGATAAATTGTGCGTTTGGAATTCGGAACACATTTTGACAAAAAAATACATTTATTTCAATTTGAATTATTTAGCGCACTTTCGCATAGATAAATACGTAAAATAAATGAGCAACTGAATTAGACTGCTTTACAACGGTTTCACAAATGCTTACCAAAGTCTCGTATGTGCTTTTCCAGTCTGTCATTCTCTTCTTGTGATGCAATACTTGCCAAGTGCATGCCATGGTATCGACAGTATTGTGCGGCTTTGAACCAGTTCGCCTAGAAAAAAGATTGAAAGATGAAAAGAATTTAATAATATCTGTGGTAAGTTAAGAGCTTTAAACAAATTTTTTTATTATTTTTGGGTTAATTGTTTTAAGGATTTCTAGTTTTTCGGTATTCGTTCAGAAAGTTTTCTGCTTATTAAAAAATGAAATTAATTCTAAAATAATTTTTTTCTTGCTAAAGCGAATCGGTTTTTAATTCAAATCGAAAAGAATTATTTTAAATCTTTTCTGAACTCGGAAAAAGCTTAAAAATTCACATAACCCAAATTTTGAACCTGACTTCGCATTTTTTGAAGAATCTCTTATATACATATAGATATTCAGTCTTTCAGTCTTTCATTTACCGCTGGGCAACTTCAAACTATCACTGTGAACGCAACTTTAATCCCATTGTTAAATTTTACTCGAGCAAACAACGTTTATAAATAATTAAATTTTAATACCCTCAATGCCGAGTCGTTGGCCGCAACTTTAAGAGCATTAACGCCAATTTTCGGTCGAAAGTCTCGCCCCAGTAGGCAAACAATGCACAGTCCAGTAAAAAATTTGAGTCAATATATTCTCTATTTGATGTTCCCGTGTCCGTGAGACTACGTTTTGTTCGAAGTGTAGAGAACACCGCTGTGGTAGAAGCGTTCGTCGTAAACGAGCCAAACTAGTCAATTTCACGACGTTCTCAAGTACGGGGCCTCTCCCAGACCACAGGCTTTACAAGATCGACTTAACTCACGAAATAGAACCACTTGATCATGTGAAGCGACTTACGTTCTCAAATTGGGTTCTGCACATGATTAAAGAAATTGAGACTTTCATCGCAATTCATAATATTCAACGAAGCAAATTTTTGGTTAAACATCTTTGTAAAGAAGCAAGATATTCATTACTAGACCAGTGAGTACTCCCATGTGCTTCATGAGGCATCGCTTCAGCAGGAAGAAATCATTGGTTTGTGCAGATTTCATGCCGGTGGCGTCATTGGTCCGAATTTTTTGTCGATGAAAATGACTGCCACGCTACGGTGAGAGAGACATGTTGGAACGTTATTTTTGAGCAAGCCACATATCGGGTGTAACAATCGAGTTTGTGAAGTCTCAGTTCGGTTGATCGTATAATCTCGAGTAACAGACCCATTGAGTGACCGTCGAGATCGTGTGACTTAACGCTTCTAGGCTTTTTATTATAGAACTACATTAAATCATTGCTTTAGGGCAACAAATGAGCGATGTTAGGAGAGCTCAGAGCCAATATTGAGTGAAAAATGTGTAACCGAGTCAACGAAAATCGTATTCAACGAATCGCCCGCTGTAAACGTGCGTGCGCTGAATTTCATTCATAAATAAATGTTTTGATAGCATTTAAAGCCAATGAAAGAATTTTTACGTTTTATTTGAAAAAGAACTCGATAAATAAATAATTTATAAAGCTTTATGCTGAAACGTTGACGGATCTACCACCAGCCTAAGCCATTGTTCATAGATATCTGAGACTTAGAGAGTTTGTTCTGAGTATGGCATAGGCAGTGGATAAGAAAGGATTTTCTGAATTTTCGTTAAATGTTGTACATACATACATAGCTCTTATGCTCAATTTGACATGGGAAACACTTTTTCGTCCGAGAAGTGAACTTTGAATCGATCTATTCGAAAAAAAAAATATATATTTTTCGTTTGATTTCTTTATATGAAATTTCCTCCCGGGGAACGATTTATTCGACAAATCGTGTTTTTGGTTCGATTTACCTAGCTTTTGGCATAAATTATTGTCGGAAATACTTTTTCTGCCAAATGTTCTCTTAATATAAGGAAAAGAGATAGCTCTTTGGTTATGTTAATGCATGGAGAAAATTATTTTTCGGTACTAATCTATTCGCAAAAATCATTTTATGGTTCCATCTGCTTGAGATTCGAAACATGTAAAGCTCTACGCCTAACGTAAAACATTCAGTTAGAACCAACTCAAAATAACATGTGAACGAAGTCCCTGGTGGGCTCTAGTAATAACCGTATAAAGAAAAAAAAGAGAACTCACTAACCGTGGTGTCGCTGATTGGGGTATAGAAATCAAAAAGATTACCACAGACTGGCAGCAATGGCCGTTTATAGACTTGCAAGAAGGAAGTAGATACATATATGAACGAACTAATGGAAATTATTCGTTTTATGGGGGTTTTAAATACTCAGCAGCTGCATGCACATCTCCCATATCGACGGAGGATAGCAAGGCTAGAATAAGTTTTAGTAATTTTAAAACCGATGTGAGCACATTTTGATCAAAATTATCGCATAACAAGTTTCACTGGTCAACCTTTTCATTCATACCCAATGATTGCTGCTAAAATTGTTCCTTTATCAAACTCAGTTTCCTATTACCATAAAATAAAGAAGAAGTGATTCTTTCAGTATGTGGCCGCATCTTTTGCTTGAGCTTTTGCTCACTTTCGGCAAGCTTTTCAAGCTCTTCATACGAACTCATTTCGGTCTCTCTTTTCCCTTGCCTTGTCTCGAGAGTGCGAAATAAGTCCACATCGTACTAGCTCCTTAGAAGGACATCTAAATGAGGTCCCAAGACTGCGACAAGTATTTTATAAATTTAATTTAAGAATTTTTTAAATTTCCTATGTATTATATTAAAAAAACTTCTAACGGCTTAAACGATGGTCTGACCGACAACAGTCCGATTAATTACCTACAGCCTTGGTTATTCGAAAAAATTGATTGAATGGATTTAAGACGGAAATATTTTGACTGAAATATTTTTTTTAATAAGTGGTCATTGATCATTGAGCAATAAGCAGCGATTATTTTTAAAATTACTACATTCTCGCCAAGCGCATGCATGAATTAATTTGTTTAGTGTTTTTTTTTTCTGATTTAAAAAAAAATTGTGAATTCTAGTACATTCAGTTTACGCACATAACTCGCTGTTTTGTTTTTTGTTTTGGTCTAAATGCGCAATATTGAATTATAAATGTTGAGTTTTGCTCAACTCCTAACAGTTTTCAATCACATTTTCGTTTTGTGGATGTGTAACAAACCAACGACATGACCATTTTTTATGTTTTTATTATTTTTTCTCAGCTGCTGTGGTTATCTGCGCAGGAAAACGATACTAAAACAAGTTGATTTCTTACATTTTTTCTTGTTTTTTTTTTCTCTTTTTGGTGACAGCATTGACGAAATAAAATGCTACCGGCAGTGCAGTAGTCGCAATGATTGGCAGCGCGTTGAATGTGTAGCGACGGATAACTACCAAGCAGAGTGTTACGAAAATGTCTCAAATATTCAGATGGAAAATGTTAAAGATTTACTAGAGATTTTGTGGCATAGTGATTTAAAAAAAAAGAAACAAGTAAAGGAAACTAAATTCAGTTGAATTGCAATTGGCTATTTTTTTTTTTAGAAACTGATTATACCGAAAGTCGCTTTTTGAAGGATTGAGAAAAGACACTGGAAATAAATTTAATTTTTTTTTAATTTAATTTGGAGTTTGTTGTATGCAAAATAATATAATAATTAAAAAAATTTATGAAAAAAAAAATTATTTTAAATTTCAAGCTAATAAGGAAACCTATTTTTGTACATCTTTTTTGCAAATAAAAAAATTGAAGTTTTGGTATTATGAAAAATAGCCAATATTGGTCTAGTAAAAAATAATCTATTACTTTTACAATTGACGGCTTTAATTATCAATAATACGCAGTTCAAGTTACGTCGATCTCGTTTCGGTAATTTTGATGAGTATATTGTAAAGGAATAATTTTCAAAAATATATATAACATAATGGAAAACGTAGAGTCTGACCATAATATGAGCACCTTTCGAATGCTCAGAAGTTAAAAATTGCACATAAAATAGATCCACTAGAAAATGACTGAATACATAAAAAAGCACGAGGTATGGATGACACGTGAGGTAACTTCAAAAAAAGCTGATGGATCGAATTTCCAAATGCGAATCGTTGATGAGTCGTGAAGAGATCAACCCTTTTTTGCAGCGGCCGGTGACTAGTAATGAAAAATGGATCACTTAAATCAACGTCAAATGAAAATGGTCGTCGTAGAACGGCTTTGAGCTGGCATAATTGGCCTGCAAGCCAGGATTGCTGGCCAGGAAGGCTTTGCTGTATGTTTGTTGGGATTGACAAGGAATCATACACAGCTGCTGCCTTATGAACACACTCCTCACTTGGACGTGTAATGTCAGAAATTGGACGGTCAGAAGGAAGTTATCACCCAAAAGCGCCCAGCTTTTGACAACAGCAGGAGAATTGTGTTTCATCCGGACAAAAACAGACCACAAATATCGATAGTGATTCGCCAGAAGCTCCGAAGGTTTGGTTTAGAGGTTTTTATGCATTCACCTTATTGCCTGGACCTAGCACCAAGGGATTACCGTCTGCTCCTGTATATGGCGTATGATTTGGCTGATGAAAAATTTGCCTCAAGAGTTACCTAAGAAAAGCGATTGTGTCAAGCTTTCGCCAATGGGGACAAGGGTTTCTAAGAGAGAGTCATAATGGCATTACCATCTATATGGCAGAAAATTATGGAGCAAAACTGTTTATATTTGACTTAAATTTGATTAAGTCAACTCCGGCGGCCGCGGTAGTCGAGTAATTATAATGGCGTACTGCCATTCGGGAGGCTCGGGTTCATATCACGGTGCGACCAATATACAAAAGTTATGGAAAATTAACTCAAATTTTCCAATTGCCTTCGCCTCTCGGCAGAGAATGTCAAACTCTCCCAGTGTATTTCTGGCATGAAATAAAGCTTCTCGTTAATACGATCAGCCGTTCGGAGGCGACTTAATATAAACAGTAGGTCCTTCCATTTGTTGAAAAAACATCAAGACGCAAAAACCACAAATTGGAGGAGGTGCTCGGCCGAAAATCGCTTCAGCGGTTACAAAGCGCCAATTATATTAATAAAACATTCCATTTAATGCAAAAATAATGGATTAATCTTTACTAGACAAATAATTAATAATTTTT